ACAATGTAAAATACAGTTACCTTTTTCTACAGAAGAAATGTTTCAAAAAGTATTATAGGTAGGTTAACTTCTGAGGCAGATCTAAAAGGATGGATGAGTTTTTTAAGTTGAGAAATGAACCAAAGATATTATCCTATTGAAGTGACAAGGTGTGTCCATGGAGCAGCCAGAACATGTATTGTTGTAGGATGGAGAGAATGGGGGAGAATAGAAGAGGGTGGTGTTCACTTAGGAATAGAAGTTAATGTAGGAACAATTATGAAAAGCATGGTATTCCATATGAAGAGTTTAAACTTTAGCCTGTAGAGGATTAGAAGGATTTCAAGGAAGGAAGTTAGGCAGTCACATTGAATTTTAAAAAGTACTTGAGAGTAGCATGGAGGATATATTGGAGAGGAAGAAGCTGGAGTCAGGGAGACTACTTAGGAGATTATTGTAATAGTACAGATGAAGCTCAAAGAGGACCTGAAACAAGATATGGACATATCACATGCATATGAATGGTACTCCTTCAGGTTGTGCTCACCAGAAGACCCTCTTTGGTGGCTCTGATTGTCATTAGGATTGGAGAGGACATACAGTAGGCCCTTCTTATCTGTGGGTTCTGCATGCAGGTTCAACCAACTGGGGATCAAAAATCTTTGACAAAAAATAGTAAGGCAAAAACAAAAATAATACAAATGAAAACCAATCCAGTATAACAACTATTTGCATAGTATTTATATTGTATTAGGAATTACAAGTCATTTAGAGAGGATCGAAAGCATATGGGCAGATATGAGTTGGTTATATGAAAATATTATGCCATTTTATATAAAGGACTTGAACATCTGTGGATTTTTGTGTGGGGGATGGGGGGGTGTCCTGGAAAGAATCCTCAATGGATACAGAGGGACAACTCTATTTGGAAGATATTTAGGATACATTTCCAAAAGATGTTGAATTGGTCTTCATGACACATTGGTCCTGAAGGGGAAAGGGTAGAATAAGTTCTCAAGATTGGTGATAGAGTTATTATAGGTAATAAGGGTTTTCTTAACATAGAGAATTCAGGACAGTGTTAAGTGTTTTGAGGAAAAGAAATAGGCAGAAATTTTGAGTGAAATTTTGATTATCTTGAATTTGACTTTCCTGAGGGACATTTACATGAATGCTGTGGAGTGCAGGTTAGAGATCTGGGCTAGAGAGTTTGATCTGAGAATCTTAAGTGTGTATGGGATAGTTGGAGACATGAGTGCAGATAAGGTCATGAAAGAAGAGAATCTAAACTGAGAAGAGAGGATAGAAGTAATGAGAATGGATTCCTGGCCAACACCAACGCTAGAGGGAAGAAGATAGGAGTCAGTAGAGAAGTCTAATCAGGAGGAAGCAAGAATGGAGAAAATGGTGTCACACAAGCCTAGTAGGAAGACACTTCACCAATGTCAAATGTCACACAGGAGTTAGTAGGACAGACAGAAAAGGGCTTATTGAACTAGAAACTACAAGGTCTTTGATGATCTTAATGAAACCAATTTCAATAAATAATGAAGGCAGAAGACAAATTATAGTGGATAGAGAAGCGAATTTGAGTTGAGGAAATAAAAGGTATGTAGACTAATTTTCCAAAAATGTTAGATATAAAGGGAAGTTATTTTGATAATTTGTTGTAAAACCTTTACCCCTTCCTATCCTTTCCTTCCCTTCCTCTCCCCCTTTCTCTTCTCAGGTAATACAGTTCTACCTGAACATCTTAACTCACCCAGACAATGAGCACGAACAATATAGACCCACTTGGGTAGTTGTTCCTGTCAGTGTGCCAACTTTTATTTATAGAAGACCCTGGTTAGGCACTATTCCTTTGCCTCTCGATGGTTTATTTAGTTGCCATTTTTTAGGTGCCTTACATTTATTCAATATTATTTGAAGGAGAAGTTAACTTTGGGATTTTAGAAAACAACAACAAATTAGTTGAAGAAATATGAATAGACACATTATTCACCATTAATATAGGTATGTTTAATGACCTCTTATTATACAAGTGTAGGCTTATTTACAAACATATTCCTTCTCCTTAGAATCAAATCACTTATCCAAATATATAAGAATGTAAATAGTCATGTTTATAGTTCCTGAAGGATCCGTTTTCAAAATTTTCTCCTGTTCAGCTTCTTGTTCAGTACTTTAGCCCCTTGCTAGAATGCACCTTCTGCTTATTTGAGTATGAGGGCTGCTATTCTTACTGCAAAAAGTTTGTTGCTAATGTTTCTCTTGTTATTGCTGCTGAACTGCTGCTTCATGTGCTGGAAATTATATTAAGCAAGGTTCCATTAATCACTGGATTAATTATTAAAGTGTACACTGCAGCCAGTTAGAAGCAGGTCTGCTCTCTGTGTTCTAGCTCATCCTACTCTGATGTTTTCACAAGGTCATTGTGGCATTTTCTCTATGGCTATGCTGTCCATCTCTTTCATCTTACCTTCTAGCTACTCAGATAAGCCTGGTCGCCTGGTAAATAGTGGTTGTGCATTTACAGTGTTCCTAAGGCTTCACTTACTCCATTGCTTTCTCTTAGCATTTTGCAGGTGATATTTATCTATCTCTTAAGGGAAATCTTGTTGGGGAAAGGCAGTTTCTTTACATTTAACACAAAAACTATTTTTAACTCCCATCACAAGCATACTTAATTTACCATACTGCACAAATATAAAAATATATCTACCCCAAGCAAGCACTAATACATTAAATAAATGATTGTCAATGTACCACTGATATAAAACATTGGAATTTACTTTTTTCATTTCAATAGTATACAGTGAGCCTTATACAAACAATCATAATAGGTTTATTTTTAAAAAATTGCATAATAGTTTTCTAGTTTAGGATTAATTTTGTAACCACCCTTTTATATCATTTTCTAATCCTCTTTCAAACTTACTCTGGTCAGAACCCTTGATTTTAACCCTGTTGTAGGGTTAAACCGCTTCTGCTTCTATCAACAGCCTGGCTAAGACATATTCTCGAGAGAAAAACAAGACTAGAAGACAAATGTAAACTTTGTACTCTTTGAACCTCTTTAAGCTTTATCCTTGTATTAAATTTGATCACCAGGAAAGCTCACATCTGGCCTTTACAAAGTTATGATTTCATGAGGAAACCTGTGGCTTTTAAAATTTTTAATAAAACTGCTTTTCAAAGACAGGATACCTTATGATGTTCAACACCCTTACTAGAAAGACCCTTATGATAAACAATCTCAGAACTGAGGATCAGGGAAGAAATGTTTTGATGAGTTAAAGTGTTCTCTTAGTAGGCTGTGAGTGCTATACAGCCCATTCTATTTTTGAGTTTACTTGGCTTTTCCAAGCCTCTCATGAAGCCGTGGTCTCAACTGCTGCAGTATTTGTCAGGCAATATGATTTTTAGGTGAAAAAAATTGTTAAGTACTAAAGTACTTTAATTTTTCTATTTTTTGCTAGCAATTCTTAGATTTATAATGTTTTATAATTCTTATTTTTTGTAAGCTGCATTAACTGAACAAAAAGGATATGTATTTTTTTGAGCTCCTTTTTTGGTCAGAATTTCTCAAGCCCTGACATTTTTCTAAATCTCTACTGCACCATCTCCCTTTCCTGTCCACACCACTCATCAGGGCTATTACTGACATTATTCTTGAACTACATCAGGGAACTACACTAAATGAATACTTCATAGAAGTCCCTTTCTAATCCACGTATTTAAAAACCTACTATAATTAATATTTTATATATCTTATATCCAAATATTTGTATCCTAAAATTATTTTTAATATATATAAGCTATAACTTGGCTCATTTAAAATAAATTATTTCATATGATGCTAAAATGCAATTTGGTAATTTTTTTATTTCATAAGGCTTACCTGAATAATATGAGTAAGAAATTGCCTACATCATGTAATCAGTACTTTCACATTTATTAAATGGTATGATTTATGTGTCTAGCAATCAATTTTTGACTTAAATTTCCCTTATTTAAGTTTCACGTTTAGAAAGCAGTATCTGCTATTGCTGATTAATTTTTAAATCACAAAGAGTTTATACAAAGTCAAATTTTATGATTTAGGAGACTGAAATTAAAACAGATAAATTTGGACATGGCAAATTCTAAATTATTCATAGTTAGAATGTGTTTTAATGTTAAAAAGTTTTGGAAATGCATTAAGCCACTGATTTTTTCAGCTTTTCACTAAAGAATGTAATCATATACATAAGTTCGTCTTTATTACTGCTTTCTGTTTTCCAACATTTCTAACAGCATTCATTCTCCTGAAATAACCAGAGGGCCTATGCTCTGAGTGCCCATCACTATAAAGATGCGTATACTACTCCATGTTCTGTCTTTCCATCTCATTGGAAAGATATCAGTTCCTCCTGGCACTGAAGGAGAACCACAACTAGTTTGCCTCTTGGCTATAATTACTATCTTTCTGCTCTTAAGGGATCTTTGTAATTTGTTTACATTTGAACTTTAGAAGAAATTGCAAACTGAATCCAGACACCTGAAGGTGCTCTGAAGAGGGGAAGCCATCCAGGGAGGCCAGTGTAAGATTGAATAAGCCTGCGTAGACAGGATTGAATCAGAGAGAAAGAGAGAGAGAGAGAGATTTAGAAAACTTCTCTTTGAATTGTCAGCCAGAGTTTTGGAACCAGTTTACCTTCTCATGGTATTGGATAGGGATTCCGAAAGGTTTACTTTCAGGGAAGTGACATTATATGACACAGACAAACGTCAGCATTTACTGGAAATAAAAAAATGCCACTCCAGATTTGACATCCATGAAAAACATTAAATTCTTTCCTCAATTTTGTAATTACCCTATTCAATTCTGCTTGTGTATCAAACAAAAGACTGTTACTACCTCACTTCTATAGTCATTGAATTCTTTTACTGTAATGAATGTTTGCAATTAAACTCTATTTACACACTTGGTTAATAAGATTATGGAAAATTACTCACCTTTTGAATTGATTTCTTTTCAGACTTGAAAATATCTAAGCACATTAATTACAGTCACTTGAATGCACTATGCTATATTAGAGGACTACAACGGCGGTAAGTTAGTCATCCATTTCTTTTTCTGTTGTTCAAACGAATATAAATATGTTTGTTTTATGGACAAAGTATAGTAATAAATCATTGCTGACTCTCACAGGTACCTGATTTACCACACAGATAAAAACATTTGAAAACCTGGAGGTTATTTCTTCAGATTGAAGGGGCAGAACGTATGTTGTATTTTAAGAAAACAATTTAGTGCGGAGCAAACATAATTCATCCCTAGCTGGCTCTTTCTAGCACTTATAAAGCATTCATAAAAGGGAAAAGCCCTAACTGGTTGAAAACACAAATATTAAGTGAAATAAGGACCTGTGCAGTCAGTGCACAGGGAATGCCTCTGAAATGTACTGGAGCCAGAGAACTAGAAAATGCCACTGTTCAAAGCGTGGGATTCCTAAGATGTGTGATACTTGAAGATTTAATTTTTTAAAATATATTTCCTTGCCAACTCCTTCCTCCAAGTTGGAGTTTTGAAATTATAAAGCTGGTTGTTTCCTTTCATATCCATTAATGTCTATCCACCCTCCCACCTTCCTTCACTCAGCAGGGAACCTTGCCTCATCTTTAATAGGAATAGTGAGAAAATGCCTTAAATTCACAGATTTTTCTCTCTGTATTTAAAAATATTTCAGAGTCATATTCTTTTAACCATTTCAAATTATTTCTATATTTTCATCTATCTTCTCATTTCTTCTTTCTCAGAGAAAGGGAAGAGGACATGCAACTTTGATATTTCTTAGTTTTCTAACAAAAGGGATTTTTCCCCCCTGTGCATTGCTGCCATCTCTTCAACATTGGTGCTTTTCAATGCAGGGTGAAGAATTAAATACATACACTGTGGAGTCAGGTTGCCTGTCTTGAATCCTGGTTTTCTCATTTGTAAAATGAAGATAATAATAGTCCCCATTTCACAGGGATATTAGGATGATTACATTAGCTAATATATGTAAACAGAGTCTGGCACGTAGTAAGGGTTAAGAAGTGTTAGTTATAATAATAACAGAAAAGCTCATCCGAGTATTTAAACTGTCTTTAAAATTTTTAACATCCAAGCTTTCAACTTGTCTTATATGTGGTCCCTTCTGTAAGAAATAAGAAGCTAGTTAAGGCATTTGGACCTAAATACCTTCTTTCCTTTCCTTTTCTTTTCATTTTCTCACCCAGACACATTTCCTTTTAAAACATTTTTCTAGATTTTATTTTTGCTTGGGTGATAGTCATAAGACACATGGAATCATCTAGATCATTAAATATGAAATGTCTGATTTTGAATCAAAACTGTAGTTTATTAGATCTCATACAAGAAGCAGTACAATTAATTAAAGTATGCGCCTAAACTATCGACACAGTTTTGCCATCTTAACTGTAGCTTGCTTATGCTAGCAGCGGAGAAGCGTGGAGAGTGAGTGGTGATAAAATCGTGACAGGGGTTTTCCACAGTTTTTTGAGAATTGAATATTTTTCCTTGCAAGAAGTGGTCCAAAGCTTGGAAGAAGTGGTGGTCAGTTGGTGCAAAGTCTGGTGAATATTGTGGATGATAGTTTCCAAGTCCAGCCTCTGTAGTTGAGCAGCGTTGGTTGTGTGATTTGTGGCTGAGAATCATCTTGCAAGAGGATTGGTCTGTGTCTATTGACCAATCTTGGCTGCTTAATCACAAGCATCCTCATCATTTTGACCACTTGGTTGCAATAGACAAATATTTGTTGTAACTGATTGACCAGGTTTCATGAAGCTATAGTGGATAAGACCAGCACTGGGCCACCAAACAGACACCATTACCTTTGTTTGATGAACATTCCATTTTGGACCATGTTTCGGCACTTCATCTTTATACAACCATTGTGCCACACACTTGTGATTGTAAAAAGAATCCATTTTTCATCACACATAACAAAACAGTGTGGAAATGGTTCGCCCTTATGTGGTGACAGCAAAAAAAAAAAAAAAAAAAAAAAACAAGCTTCAAGATGATTTCTCTTCTGACCTTCATTTAATTCATGCAGCACCCATCTATCCAGCTTCTTTACCTTGCCGATTTGTTGCAAATGGCCCAATATTGGAATAGTAATGTCAAGGCTTGCTGCTAATTCACACATAGGTTGAGATGGAGTCACTTCCACTACAGCTTTCTGCTCATCATTATTCACCTTGGTCTCAGGTCTCCCACATGGCTCACTTTCAAGAGTAAAATCACCAGAATGGAACTTCTCAAACCATCTACATATGTGTATTCATTAGCCACTTTCTTTCAAAATACTTCACTGATATTTTGAGCTGTCTGCGCTGCATTGGTTCCATGACAGAATCCATATTTGAAAATAACATGCATTTTTTACTTATCCATGGTTTCACAAAAATTGCTCTAAAAAAACTTGTCACAAGCCAAACTGCATTTGCTAGACTGAGGATGTACCTTCACAATAAAAATAAAACAAGAAGTATCAAAGTGAAATGTCAGAGATATCAACTGTCAAACTTAGTACTTATGGAAATCGGACATTTCATACTTAATAACTTAATAGTTCTGCCAAAGGAACAATTCTAAATACTTCTTATTAGCCTTTCTCTTCCTGGATTGGATAATTACTCCTGGGTGGTGTTCTCTCACCAGACAATCATCTGGTTCAGGCCCAGTCTGGTTGTCCCACCTAACTTCCTCTATTAAGTGTCACTTTTTCTGTGTCTTCTGTTAGAGCCCTAAATCCCCCTGAATTTCCTGCATGTGTTCTCTTGAGGTATTGGCAAACACCAGTGACCTGGAGGATAGGTTTTAGGGTACATATATATATGGGTTTTGCATCATTAAAAAAAATACAATATACCATTAGAAACACGAAATTAGATATGAAGATGAATATTTATTTAGAATGAGAAAATAAATTATAAAAAATTAATGAAGGCTTGGCAATTCAGGTCTTTTTTGCTCCCTGAGATTTCTTTAGGCAATTTACCAGAAATACATTCACAGAAAGTATTTAAGAACTTTGGATTTATAGAGATTTAAGAAAAATGTACTCCTCCATACTTATTATTTCTTTATGTCTTATATATTAAAAGTGACCAATGAAATATATTTTCCCCTATAATAAAAACAGAAAGGATGAGAATTAAATGATTCAAACTTTAAAATTTTGTACATGAAACCCACAAAAGGCATTAGTTTTTTTATTTTATTTATTTATTTTTTATTTCGGCATATTATGGGGGTACAGATATTAAGGTTTCAATAAATGCCCATTTCCCCCCCTCCCCCCACAAGTCTGAGTCTCCAGCATGACCATCCCCCAGATGGTGCACATCTCACTCATTATATATGTATATACCTGCCCCCCTCCCTCCTCCCACCTGCCCAATACCCTATTACTGTAGTTTTGATTTTAAAATAAAATTTCTTCTATCAGAATAAAAGCAGTAGATTGGCATGTTATCCTGGGATTTTTGATGAAGGGTAAAAAAACAATTGAATGATAAAGGGGAGGATGATGTTACTTTGAATTTCTAGGTTACAAGCTCCCTGAGGGTAGGAGATTTTTAAAATTTATTTTATTACTTTCTACCCCTTGACATTAAGCATAGAGTTCAATGTTTTGATGTTCAATAACTATTCTGTACTTCTCTATGAGTTTAATTTTTGTAGATTCCACATACACATGAGAACATGTGGTATCTGTCTTTCTCTGCCTGCCATATTTCACATAGCATAATGTCCTCCAGGTTTGTCCACATTGTCACAGATGACAAAATTACCTTATTTTTAAAACTGAATATTCCATTCTGTATATATGCAACAGTTTCTTTATACAGTTATCAGATGGACACTTTATACAGTTGGACTTTATACAGATGGACTTTATATATATATATATATTTATATATATATATATATATACAGATGGACTTTATACAGTTATACAGATGGACACTTAGGTTGATTTTATATTTTGGCTATTGTGTATAATGCTGCAATAAACATAGTAGTGCAGATATCTCTTCGACATACTGATTTCAGTTCATTTGGATATATACCCAGAGGTGGTATTGTCAAACATTTATGATTTTCTGTTCATAACATTTGCCCATTTTTCTATTGGGTTCTTTGTAGCAATTATTACATATTTTGGATGTTAATGTTTTTTGTGATTAATATATGTTGCAAAATTTCTACAATCATTTCTCATATACTGTTGATAAGAACACTGTCTTCTGGCCAAATCTATTAATAGTTGATAAGGGGAAATGTGGTATCTAGCTGGACAATCATGTTTCTGGGAAGAAGCAGAGAGTGAATTTGGGAGGGAGCAATTAGTAGTCTTCCAACTCAACTAGGAATCCTATTTTATTAATTTTTCTGTCGCTAGAAACTAGAATTCCCTGGGGGCTGCATAAATGTTTTAATGAGAGGATAAATAAATATTTTATGTTATTTTTCTATTTTCCACCTCCTTATTTCTCTGTGAAGAATTTGAGAATATCTATAGATATACCTTTAAGTTTATCGATTTCCTATTTAATTGTTTTTAATATACTGTTTAACCCATTCACTGAGTTTTTAATTTTAATAATTATAATTTTTGGCCTAATAAGTAAATTGAGTAAATTCACAGGATACAAAATAACAACAACAAATCAATAGCATTTTTACACACAAATAACACCTACATGAAAAGAGAATCAGGAAAACAATTCCCCCTTTATGAAGCATCCAAAAAAACTTTAGGAATAAATTTAACCAAGGAGGTAAAAGATCTGTACACTGAAAACTATACAACATTGATGAAAGAAATTGAAGATGACACAAATAAATGGAAATATATCTTGTGTTCATGGATTAGAAGAATTAATATTGTTAAAATGTTCATAAAATCCATAGCAATATACATATTCAGTGTAATCCCTATCAAATAACAATGGCATTCTTCACAGAAATAGCAAAAAAATCCTAAAATTCATAAGGAACCATAAAGGACCCCAAATAGCTAAAACAATTCTGAGAA